CGCGAGCAGCTTCGCTCAGGCACGAGTCCCCGTACTGCAGACGGGGTAAGAGGAAGTGAATCGACCACTGAGAATGACGTCACCTCGTCCTTGTAGCCATGGACGCTCGCCTTTGCCGCTATGAGCAGACGCGCCTTCCTGTCGTTACCCTCCATTGCTGCAGCGTACAGAGCGTGATCGCGCTGGCAGACAAGGGTCAAACAGCTTTCAACTCTCGGGCATCGATGACTCACGTCGCTTTGTGGAAGCTTCTTGCATTCAGCGATTTCCGACTTGAGAATGTAGAGGTAAGACGAGGGAAAGCAACAAAAGGAGGAACACAGTGGGGAGGCATGCAGAGAAAGACAGAGCAGAGGGAGAGAGGGCGAGGTAGGGAGGACTTACAGGCTCAAACTCTGTGTTAACTGGAGCAGACATCTGCAATGAAGAATTAGCGGGCGGCCGTAAGGCATCAGCAACGTACTGCTCCGTTATTATCTCCATTCCCAAGCTGCGATAAAGGATCATCACCTTGACGCGAACTTGAATTGAGGCGACTCACATCCTCCTGACTAGCATTAAAAGATTTAGAGGATGCTCCTCCCTGAACAAGCTCCCATCAGTTCAAAACAACGCCGCTAAATGCGCATGAACCTGTTTCCTCCTCTCTTCCTCGTGCTCTCTAGTGACTGAGTTGACTTTGATGAGAATGCGGTAAGGAAAGATGCTCGCCCTCGACCGGGTGTAGCGCTCAATTTCGGCGTTCTCGAAATAAGGGGAGATTGCAACAGGTCCGAACCTCCTCTCCCATCCTATGGTCTCCCCCCTTACGCTGAATCCGGGCTGTTGTCTACATTGCAGCACGACTCGAACAGTAGATCCTGCATACTCACAAGGAGAAGAGTAAATGTCGAGCTCTGAATACAAAATCGATGGGCTAGTGTAGAGCTGAATCTGTTGCTCTCCCCCCATGGTGCAGCGATTCTGAAGTTTGGTCCCATCCAACAGCGTGTCTCCCGGCATCAGCAAACTTCCTTCATTCAAGATTGACGTGATCACAGTGGAAGGACATCCGTGAAAGCTCACAGGCCATCCAAAAATGCCCAGCGCTTCTGCTCGAGGAGAAAGCTTGAGGCCAAATCCGCACCATCCCAGTGGTACCTCGTACCTGTGACCTCCTTGCACGTCCACCTTGAGGTTTTCGTGCACGTTGCTCTTTTGCGTGCAGTTGGGGCAGTAACAGCGATCATGTATCGGATCCAGGTATGACGGACTGACTGAAGGAGGGCCCAGGGAATCTAAAAATTGTCGGCAGAACTGCATGTTGGGACAATCGTAATGGATGATAGAGCTGTTTCTTCGAAGTACCGAATGCAAACCCATCTTCACATCGACTGCTGACATTCGCTCCACGGGATCCGACACCAACAATTTCTGGACAACGTCAGCAATCTCTTTGGATCGCTCCTTAGCCTGTTCGATCAAACTCTGTCTCTTGATTACAACTTCTTCACTGTCGTCCCACAAGGGCCCAATGTTAAGCTCTCCATGAATCAAGTTCAACAAAATACACCCCACCGCCCACATGTCAGCCGGACGACCATACTCCTGCCCCTTGGCTCGCTCAGGTGAGAGATAGGCAGGAGTTCCACCCTTACTCATCAGAGCTGATGCAGCAGTTGACTGCAACATTGTAGCCATGCCAAAATCTGCAAGTTTGCTGACCCCCTTGTCAGTTAGCAGGATGTTGCTAGGCTTCAGATCGCGATGGACAACCCCTTCACCGTGAATGTACTCTACAGCTGACGCTATTTGATGCGCAAGTTGGATGACGCGATCAACTGCCACCACGGGCCTCTGCTTCACCACGTTGTCCAGTGAACCACCGGAGGCCAACTCCATAACGAGGACGAAATATTTCCTGGTCCTCAAACAATCGATGTACTTTACAACATGCTTGTGCGAGAGACGTTTGAATACTCGGACTTCCCTCTCCAGCTGGTCTTCGCTCATCCCCTGATTCTTCACATCTCTCCTGTTGATGATTTTGGCTGCTACCAGCTCACCCTCAGTGTTTTTCATGCGACATGTGATTGCAAATGTTCCTCTGCCCAGTTGGGATCTGATGCACTCGTCGTCGTCATCATATCCTCCATACTTCTCTACCCAATCCTTGATGGTAAAGGGCGCCCAAGTATAGCCTACCTCTTTTGGTATGTCCTCCATCAGTCAAATCTCATTTTAAATCACCTGAAGAAAACATTCAGGCAGATATCAAAGACCACAAGAAACACTCAGCTATCCCTCCTCAAAATTTCAATAAAGACTTTCTAATGCATCTAGTGATTTGATTCGGTCACATCTTAGCCTACATCTCCACCGTTCCCTTGGTAACCTCCGAACGCAAGCAGGGGTCACCATTGGATACACTCGCGCTTAGCAAGCGCTTTCTCCACAGAGCCACCTCTCTCATCAAGATTTTTGCAGTTCATATGTGTAGAAGTTTGTATATTGGCTGATCAACAAATGAATCGGGAAAAAGATTCACATGGGTTCACCTCAAAACACCAAAACTTGGCATGCATAATATCCCTTCCTTTTCCTCTTCCCTTCCCTTCCCTTTTAATCCTCTTCCCCTCGTAATCTGCTCGTCTTGTCGTGTACACATCTTTTCTTCTCTTCTTTACATTCCTCTTCTCTCCGCTCCTCCTCTTCACTCTCACATTCTCCACCTCTCGATACAAATGTGTTCTATCAACGCTGCATAGCAGTACGTTTTACCCACCCACCCTCCCACCTCCCCTCCATAATTCAGCCCTTCCTTCAGTAATTTCACCCCTACCCCCACAAAATGATGGTACCGGTTCTACTTTGAGCTAAATTTCTTATCTAAACACCCCTCCATCGCCTGATGACCAAATTACTACCCTACCACAGCAACACCCTACCCACGTCAACAGCAAATGATACTACCGCAAATGACCACCCCTTGGGACAGAATCAGTGTTGAATATGACTCAGTACCCCCTGAAAAACACAGAAGGACCCGTGGCTCCCCCCACCACCCTTAGGATATGTAACCAAAAAACTTCCACTGCCTTCTTCAATATGAGGCTCTCAGAATTAGAATTTGAGGCTCCACATACTTTTTCTTCTAAACTTTAAAATTTCAAATATTGATATTTGAATATGGCCTCCATTCCGTCAATCAGCACTGTATCCTTTACCCACCCTTGCGTCAGCGATTTGAGGCAGCATCAAACTCACATCCCTTCAAGTCCCGGACCCACCCCACCCTTTCAATTTCATCAAGACTATCAACCACCCGTCCCTCCTCGTTCTCCGATCCCCTGTGAGCTGATCACGGAGGCCATATACCCCTGGTCTGTCAACTAAAAGTTGAGATACAACAATTTATAGCAGAAAGTTAGTCCCGTACAGATCACTAACAAAATTTGTTTTTAAACTGAACTTTGTCCCGAATATGCATTTCTAAAACTTTGTAAGTCAGCCTCCGTACCTATTTTAAAACACGATGTCTTTAAAACAAGGAGTCAGAACTGCGGCAACCGTCAAGAGTCAGGCCCGTTTCCCGCCGGCTCCCAGATTCCAGATTCCAGATTTTTTCATACAAATATAAGTCAATTTCTTTTTTTTCCTCCAAATGTTTTGGAGAACTCAACTATAAGTCATTTTAATTTGAGAATGAAACGATGCGGTTGACTTTCCCAGATTTTGCTTTTCGAATGGGCAGGCACTATATGGAAATATACTATTAGCTCAATCGAGAAAAATTGTTAGAAGGTAGGCAGGGTACGCTGGGAGCATGAAATATGAACAGGCAGTGGACCCACCCCCTGTCAGTATGTATTGAAAGCACCGGTGAATATTTCGGGGTAAATTTCAAATCATTTTGAATAAAGTCAAAAATCTGGAATCTGGGAGCCGGCGGGAAACGGCCCTCAGTCACCACCACTCGAACAGTTCAAGTGCAGTGTGGGCCGCCGGGCCCGGGCCCGTCGGGGCGGCGGGCCTGGCCGCCGCGAGTGAATGCGGCACTGCAGGAGTGGTCGCCTGACGGAGCCTCGGAGCACAAGTTTGTTAGACTTGTACTGCAGGCTGTGCCAAAGTCACGCAGATACGAGGAGCACACATGATGAGAGATAGACTCTCAGACTCAGTGGCGTATGCTCAGTGACTTGATGTTGACCGTGTCAGTGAAACCCAAGCATCCTGACATGAGAGGACCTTACTATCAGCAAGACGGCTAGGAAAGCCCCCTCTCCGGAACTTCGGAAGCGACGGTACGCCGGTAGGCTCAGTGACAGTCACTCCGGGACTCCCGGTGACTCGGAACTTCGCGCGGCCTCCGGGGCCGAGTCAGGGCCCGGCCGGGCGCCGGAACTAAGTTGTGACTCAGTGACTCCGAGTACGGTCGCCGGAGTCACACTGAGGCATTCGGAGGCTTCCGATGCCGGCGGCCCATCATGTTTGTAGGGCCCCAGCGCGGGAGTTTCGTCGGGAGGGGTACTAGAAGGGTGAGGAACAGGGGTGAAGAGTAGCGTACTAGTAGGGTGTGGTGACCGTCCGACAGTGTTCGGAGTTGAAGGGGCGAATTGCGACGATGCGATGAAGATGAAGGAGAGCAAGAGTGCAATGGCGACGATGACGATGATGATGGCGGTAGCCATGACAAGCCTCTTCACAAGATGCTCGTGGTATGCTCCCACCGATTCTCAGAATTGCTGATTCCTGCTCGCCTTCCACCCTCATGCAAATCATTCCTGCCATCTTGGTCGAACACTGGATTTTTTATTTTCATCTCATTAGATCGCACTTGACCCTTGATATTTCGTGTGATGGAACAAGAGTACAACAAAACTTTGCACACGTCACATGAAAGTGTTTCCTAGCCGTTTGCATGTGATGCGCTGAAGGAGATACACTGTTAGATAAACTTGTCACATTAGAATCATCTTCGAGTCAGTCTTTGCTGTTCCTCATCCATCTGAAGCTCTCTTTGCAGTTTCACCTCTCCCGGCATGCGTCTGTTTCATCATGTTGGACGATCGCCGGCGGGAAGAGCGACATGCTGGAGGCCATCGAGATCAACTTTCAGGAGTCTTGAAGCCACGAGAAACTCATACGTGCAAGGTCGAACCTCCTGACCAGAGCTGCTGCTTCACAGCTGAGAATGCGCAGATGAAGATTTCCCGGATGTCATGGATGACGTCATGACGAGGATCAGGGAGAGAGAGGCGTCGAGCTCGGCGAGCGTGTCCTTCAAGAAAGACTTTCGCAGGGTAGTAGAGAATCTCAGAGGCAAAACCAGAGCTCTTGTTTCAAACATCTCGCTTGCAAAGATTGTCAGTGACCAGGTCTCTCCTTCCGGTCCCACTCTCAAACGGTTTACGCGTTTTCCTGACCCTACAGATAAATCCAGAACGAGTATCTATCAACCTGAAATTTTTGACTACATCCATCGAAAGCTTCGTGGTTTTTATCAAGCATTCCATCACAATCTTTCTCAGCACAATGCTGGCAACGTTTACAACCCACTACGAAAATGCTCGGCTGCTAGGCAAAAAGGCGTATGACAGCCTGCATGGTGAGAATCGGTCGATCTTCCAACATTCTGATCGGGCTTCTGCATGTTGGTTAGAGAGAAGCAATCGCTGGTTGAGCAACTTCAAAGGTCAGAACTCCACGATTGCCGTCATGGAACCTATGACAGTGGACAAAAAGGACCCAGCACAGGTTGTTTGGCGATCCTGCTCCATAGACCATCATGTTCATGTGCGAGGCAGGAAATGATTGAGCTGGGTTTCGACTTTGCAAAAATCGTTGCCAACAGAACATATCAAGGTATCCCATCGAAGTAGTCCACTTAATCCTGAAGTTGTACCAAAGCTTCACGATCAGTCGCCACAACTGTGATGGAAGAGGGAAAGTCCATCGTAGAGCAAGTAAGAGGGAATGCTCTCTTAAAATCAACCCGGTGACAGCTGACGAAGGGGAGGAAAATCATGCCGGGCATCCTTGCTGTGGGAGCAGTTGCAGCTGCAGGTGACCCACCATGCTGCTGCTTGTCCCTTAGCTCGCATCTTGTTTTCTTGGCTTGTCCAATGTCGCTGAATGTGAATGCAGCGGATCTCACCGACGTCGCGCTTGCAAGTGCAGCTGGGCTGATGCTGACAACAGCTGTTGTGAGTTGAGTTCCAATCTTCTTCTGGCGTTGTTGATGCGGGGACAAGGCGGATCTCGCTGTGGCAGACAAGAAGAAAAAGATGGAAGGAACCACCAAGTCAAACGAAAATGTGAGACACGCCTGTATTGACTCGCGTGTTATGACATTGATTTGTTTATTTTGAGTCACAGAAAGCTCCGACAGTTATCAAGGTTGAGAACTATCCATTGCTGTTGTTGTTGAATGACGACATCTACAGCTCTCCTACGATGCAGAAGATCAAGATGATCTGAGGTGCGTTTTTTTTCAGCACAGCACCTCTCACGGCGAACAAGGTCGCTTTACACCAAGATAGTCAACGACTACAAGCAGGTCTCCTTTCTTGACTTCGACTCGTATCATTATGGTTCAGGAGTTCCCGCTCGATCTTGCTCTTGCTCAGATAGACAGCGTGAAGAAGATCGACAGCAGCCGAGTAAGAGTCTGAGACCAAGTTCCCGTGTCTGAGTAGTTGACCAGGTGCAGCAACTGAGCAAGAAATTTGCGGATGAGGTGAGAAAGATAAGTTGCCAGATGCCGAGTTGACCTGCCTCAGAACGGACGATTCACCTTCACCAACTTCATCCTCGCTGTCAAGGCATACATCGCCTGACATGTACCAACTTCTCCTTTCAGCTTCGAGTTTTGCTTGTGCTGGAAAAAGTTTCCTCTTTAATAATGATAAATGAATCAAGATAGGAAGGTTAACAATGCACACCGCCTTTCTTGTGCCATTCTGCTTGCAAGTAGTTTCTTTTCTCCTTTCCTCTTCTCCCCTCTCTCCTCCTCCATCTCTGTTTCTTCATCATCTGCTTCATTTCTTGCCTTTGGCCGCTCGCTGTTCACCTTCCTTCTGTAACACCCACTGCTCTCGGCTCTGCATGAGTTCGTAAGGAGAAGAAAGGATGATGATGAGGTAGAGGAGGAAGAGGAGGAGGTAGAGAAGGTGAGGAGGAAGAGGAGGAGGTAGAGAAGGTAGAGGAGGAAGAGGAGGAGGTAGAGAAGGTAGTGGAGGTAGAGGAGGTGGAAGTCTCCTCGCCTGCAGGTCTGCTTCCTTGGCCATCACGCTCTTCTCCCTCTCCTCCAGCTCAGTCTGTTTGGATATCGCGGATTGCTGCCAGTCTCTCAGCGTCTCGACGCCTCGAGCTGGAGGGGTTACCTCTCTCCTCCCGATGTCCTGCAGCTTCTGCTCGTACATCTCCAGCTCCTGCCCAGCTGTTCACCTCCGGCCTAAACGATGAGGCGGACTCACCTTGGTCCTCCTCTGGATCGATTCCTCCAACTCCACCATCTGATTCTGTCGCCAGGTCACTCGCCCTCCTCGCGTCATCGGCCCCCCCGCCCCCCCCATCCCCGGTTCTCCTCCTCTTCCTCCCCTCCTCTTCTTCCTCCTCATCCTTCCCCCTCTTGTCCTTCCTCCTCTGCCTTCTGCTAATCTCCTGTGCGCATTGCCTACCTCAACCTCCTTCTTCGAGGCTTTCAGGCTGGTGATGTCCTGCGCTAGGTCACATATTTCTCAGCTCAGCTGAAGGCTACCTGGCGGATCCTCTCCTTGTCCGACTCAGCCTGCAGTGACGATCATGAGGGCATTCAGGCGAAAGACATCGAGAGAGCAGAGGCGTGGGAGGAGTGAGTGGAAAAGGATAGGGGGGGGGGGAAGGGAAGGAAGAGGGAGAGAAAGGAGAGGTCGAGGAGGAAGAGGAGGTGGTGGTAGTGGCACGTACGAGATATGAATATTTCAAGATAAAGGAAAGAGGTAGAAGAGGATAGGGATCAGGAGGTAGCGGGACTTGTTGTGCGTTAGCAGCACCTGGTCGACCATCTCCTGCTTGTGATCCTCGAGCTCGGAGATCTCTCCTTCCAATCGACTCTGCTGGCTGATGAACAAGCGGGAAGAGGGAAGGACGAGGGAGGGAGAAGGGAAACCTTGGTGTCCTGAAGCTCTTCCACCTCCTCGACAGCCTCTCGGACCTGTGTTCAAGTAAATCAGGAAGACGAGAGGAGGAGGCAATCAAAGAAAGAAAGGGCAAGGAAGCAAGAGAGGAGGCAGGGTAGGAGGTGAGAGACGGAGAGAGATCAATCACCTTTCGGTCCCATTCGTCCTTGAGAGCCTCTTGGTTCTTCAGAAGCTCGAGCTCCCTACGATTCTCTTCCGCCTGCGAGAGCATCACTGAAGGGAGGGGGGGAGGAGAGATGTGGGGGAGGGGGGGAGGCAAGAGAGCAGGAGGAGGAGGAGGGAGGGAGGGAGGGAGGAGTAGACTTCGCATGCCTGTCGCTGCAGCCCTTCGATCTCCTCCTGCAATGATGAAGAGACTTTGCGCTTCTCCTCACACTCACGATCAATCGCCTCGACCTGCAGCATCCAACATAAGGCCTGGAAACATGCAGAAGGGAGAGGAAAGGAGGAGGGAGAAGGGCAGGAGGGAGGAGGGGAGGGAGCACTGGTCAGAGAAGTAGAACCTCCTTCCTCTTGGGTTCCAGCCAGTCGCCTCGTGCAACAAGTCTTGTGCGATTCTGTAGCGATTGGACCTGCAGCGTCAAAGTCAAGGGACGAGCAAAGGGAGACGTGGAGAAGACAGAGGAGCGAATTCAAGTATCAAAGATTGTAGGACTGTCAAGTGACTGGAGGGTGGAAGAGGGGAACACATTAGAATGAATGAAGAACCGGGCAATTGAAAACAAGGAGAATGAGAGGGGACAGAAGAGAAGGAGCGGCAAGCGGGAAGGTGGAGCAAGGGAAAAGAGAGAAGGGGCAGAGACTTTGATTTTAAGGTTGTCAAGCTTGTTGTCTGCTGTTGTCATCTGTGAGTTCCATCGAGACTGCATCGACTTGACGGCGTTGGAGAGGAGAATGTTGAAATGATTCCATTCCTGCCAGAGACCATCAGGATATCTACAAGCTGAAAGCGAAGAGCAAGGAGGAGACAGTGGAGGAGAACGAGGAAGACGGTGCGGAGACGATCGAGTTGATAGTGTGCAGAAGGATGATTGAGTCCAGAACGACTCAGCAAAAGCTCTCAGACTTCACCTCCTTCGACAGGATCGTCCTGGGAGTTGTGTCGCCTTCGCTCTCCTCTCCTGTCCCCAGCACGGCAGACGGGAACTCTTCAGCGGCATCAGAGCTCTTTGCTTTCCCCGACTTCTTCGTCTTGCGCTTCACCTGCAACCTCCTTCTCAGCCTTACCTCCCCTCCCCCCCCTCCTTCCGCCTCCTCCCTCCCTCACCTTGCTCTTCACTTGAAGGCTACCTGCCTCCATCCCCTGCGTCTCCTCTGCCTGGTTGCTCCTCGGCGACTTCCAGCACGTGTGAGGAAGCTTGAGAGGGAGTGCCGTCCTTACCTGACGTACAGCTGCGCGGTCTCTTCGCTCCTCCTCCTCCTCCTCCTCAGCAGTGTCTTCTCCCTTGCTCGTCTGAACTTTGGCAGCCCTCTACTCGCACTGATCAGCATCACACAATCGCAGGCAACAAGCAAGTAGAGGAGCGCGAGGATGAGACGAAAGGATCACTGCATGGACCCGATGAGGAGGAGGAGGGAGGAGGGGAGGAGAGGGGAAAAGGGCAGCAAGGACTGCAAGAGACATACTGCTTCCCTCACGCACAGCCCCTTACCTCCAGTGCCATCGATAGGTAACTTGTCAACTCCGCGACGGCGTTGCGCTTGTGCGGTTCCTCTCCTTCTTGCGTTGAGTTCGAGTACGCAGAGGGGAGGGGCACGTTGCCACTGACACAACCTCTTATCATGCCGGCATCAACCTCCTCCCCTTCCCTTGTGCTCCTCTTTCCCCAGATGTCCATCTCTTTCCCTCTCCTTCTCCCTCAGATACCCTTCCCTCCCGTCTATTACCTCGCTCCATGAATGAAGGGACAGTCCGGGCAGTTTGCGCAGAGGACCTGAGCAGCAACCGATTCACAGGGAGCAGACGAGTCGGACGCTCTTACCTCCCAGGGATCATCTTCGGGCTCCCAGGAGGCGAAGAACTAGCAGCAGGTCAATGGCTGCCGCCTCTCCCTTCCTCTCCCACCTTGTCCGCGCAGAAGTGTGCGCAGCGATCAGGAGCGTCTGCTGCAGGAACGAAGAAAAATCCTGCCTGCACCACCTTGCCTTCAGTTGCTCCCTCTAACTTTAACCAACTCCCCTCTCCCCTTCCTCCCTCCCTTCCCCCTTTTCCCTCTATCCTCTTCGTCTTCCTATCCCACCTTCGCAAGCTCTGCCGGCCTCGGCTTGTCTAGGGGCCAATCGACGAACGTCTGGCAGTTTGTGAGGCAAGTAGGAGGAGGAAGGGACAGATGCTGTGAGGAAGGGGATGGAAAGGCAGTGACAGGTCGACAGGGATAAGAAGGCGTGGCAGGATGGAAAGAGGAGAAAGTATAGGCGGAACCCAAAAGTAGACAGCAAGCTGGAGGGCACGAGAAGAAGGACGCGGCGATGGAGCAGCAGGAGGAGGGGAGGAGGACGTGGGAATGGAGCAGTAGGAGAAGAAGAAAGACGGCAAGGGGTCACCTGCAGACGGTTCCACTCGTATCGTAAGTCATCGCCCCGTCCTAATTCTTCTTGTACATCAGCAACAAACTCCCCGAACTGAGGCGAGCTGCGTTAGTTTGCATGCCGACCACCATGGTGTCCCACCTTCTCCTTGAAGGCCACCAGGTTGGGCTTCAAGGAGCTCAAGTTGGGCTTCAGCGAGTCTTTCCATGCGCTGGCAGAGATGGTAGCTGGTAGAGAACAAGTGAGGAAGTTGTGTTCATGTCAAAGTCCTCACCCTTCTTGGCAAAGTCTTGGAACAAACTCGACATGTCGTATCAACCGGCAGATTCACTTCACTTCAATGGAATGACACTGTCTGCATTATCTGCGCGACGAATATCAGTTCCACAACAGCAAGGGGGGCGATCAAACGGATATCAATATCTCCGCGCGTTCCTTTCTTTCATGCACACTCCACATCGACCAAGTTGTCTTCGTTTGCTTTCCCCCCTACGTTCTCTTCTTCTCCTCCTTCCTCTCCTGCCCTCCCTTCGCGTTGCTCCTCCTCTCCTTCCTGTCCTTCCATTCCCTGCTGTGCATTCCGATCAATCCTCATCATCATCATTGCTACCCACCCCCCACCAAAGCTGTGACTATCCGCATCGCATCGCTAGAGTACCCCTCCTTCAGTCCCTGATTCCTTATACCACCCCTACTTCCACTTTCAAACCCCTATTTTAGTATGTTGTATCCCCCCACCCAAGAAGTTCCAGACTGAACCCCCTTTACCTCATACCCCTTGTTTTTGAAGACCTCCGGTCCATGTCCCACCCACCCTGCTTTCTGACCTTCCAGGTCGCAAAGGACGGTTATCCATCATCTGTGGTTTCGCAAAAAGGCTCAAAGAGGGTAGGGGTACGGATAGTACCCATCAAACTACAGGAAATCCAAGGAATTGACAGGGTGGGGTGTGAAAAACTCATTTCAGAAGTTTTTGAAATATTTTTCCTAATATCAAAATTACAATACATCCCGTTTCGTTTTACTTGCCAATCTTTTGATTTCAGCCTGAGATGTCCTGCTGAAGGCCGTTGGCTACAGTGAAGGAAAAAACAAGGAAAAAAACAAACACAACCGCGACAGTTTCGACTTGTGACAGCAGACTTGTACAAACAGGTTGCCTTTCCTTACAACCATCTTCTCTTTCATTCTCCCTTGCCAACTCTCTTTCTCGCTCGTAACCTCCACGTCCCCTCCTGCTCCTTCTCTTGGCGAGGATCCGGGCAGTACGTTGAATCCGACGTGGCGAGCAGGCTAGCAGGTGACTGTAGCGGGGACATCTCGCGAAGAGAGTTGAGATCCCGTATCTCCTTGCTATCATTGGAATGCTCCAAGGATTCAGGAACTAAAACCAGGCTCTCCAACTTGGCATTTTCCCGACAGCCTCTCCTCGTGTGTTTCAGAGGCACGATATCATGTATCATGGACCTTTCTCTGCCTCCTCCTCCTCCGGTGGACTATCAGGTGAGCATGCTCGTCATGAGGCATGCTGCTCTGAGCGAGAAGCTGCAGGGAGACGAAGAGCAGGGGGAGGTGCAGCCAGGTCTGACCTAGAGCTCTTGAAAGGTTCGCTAACTATGATGCAAGCAGGAGCCATTCTTCGATTGGAAGGAAGGATGGTGAGAATGTATCGCGGTCCTTGTGTTGTGCTCACCTCTTCCTGCCGCAGGTCTCAAGAGCTTGACAGCAGACTCAGGTTCCTTGGAGGCAGAGAAGGAGGAGGGGGGAGAACGGGGGAGGGGGAAGGGAGGGATTACTTGTTGATCCTTTCTACAGTAGCCAGCTCTATCCTGAGAGAGTTTTCGTTCTCCGACTCATCAGAAGACGAGACGTCGCACTTTCACAAGGCTCAAGCAAGTGCTCGACTGGAAACAAGCTCGTCTGATGGTGGTTGATCCAACTTCATCCTTGACCATCGATGGTGATCGTTTTTGCAGCAGGAAGAGCGGCGGAGAGCTCGAAGATCAGTTTTCACAACAGGTGATAGTCCAGTCGGTCTTGTAAGACCTCTGATACATGTTGAAGATGCCGATGGAACCAATCTCCATCTTCGAAGAGGAAGTGCAAGGTGTTACTAGTGGACTGAGTCATCATGTGTAACCGTCGAGCCAGGGATCTGCATTCTCCCTCTCGCAGAATGACGGGGTTTGCGATTCATGCAAGAACGTTCGAGAAAGGTAAAACGAGATCAGCTCTGCCCCGCAGACATGCAACGTGATGGCACTGAGAGCAGGTGGACAGCGCGGCTGGTTGCTGAGTTTCCTGCAGCTCTTTCTCGCTCTCAGATCAGGTGAGGAAGGAGGAGGGAGGAGGTCTAGAACCTCTTGCTGAGAGCTCGCCAGGCACATCCTGGACAAGCACATGGACCTGAACGTCTGCCGCAAGGTGAAGAGACGAGATGGGGATGTGATGGTGGTGTTGGGGAGGGGAGGACTTTTGAGAGAAGGGAACCTTGAGAGCAGGGGGGAGGGAAGGTGTGGGAAGGGGAGGAGGGGACGAGAGAAGAGGTGTATGGCAGAATTTATTCATGACGTGAGATTGAGTGCTCTTTTCCTCGTTTATGCTCTCAGATCCTTGAGGATCGCATATGCGCCGGGAAGGCAGGAAGGGAAACGCAGAGCGAGGGAGAGAAAGCAGGAGCAGGAAGAGCTTGCGACCAAAGGGCAAACACCGAGAATATCTCCTGCAACGGGAACATTTCTGGGAAACGAGAAGAGGAAAAGAAAAACTCAGGAGCTTGGTCGTTGCCTCTCCTCCTGTCCTTCTCCCTCTCCCTCTCCCTCTCCCTCTCCCTCTCCCTCTCCCTCTCCCTCTCCCTCTCCCTCTCCCCTCCTCTCTCTCTCTCTCTCTCTCTCTCTCTCTCTCTCCTCCCTCCCTCCTCCTCCTCCTCTCTCTCCGCTCCCTCCCTCCCTCTCCCTCCCTCCCTCCCTCCCTCCCTCCCTCTCCCTCTCTCTCTCGCTCGCTCGCGCGCGCTCTCTCTCTCTTTCTCTCTCCTTCTAGACTTCTTCATCCTACTCGCCTCCGACGCAACTTGTCTGCACCTGTGTTGATCTTGCAGCAGGAGGAGTGAAGGAGCAGCACGATCGATTCAGGGGTGGGGAGGACGAGCGGCGTTGACGGATGAGGAGGTGGAGAGCAAGAGGATCAGCAAAGCATCGAAGCTTGCAAGAGAGGAGCAGAGCTTGCGGGAGGCGAGGGAGAAGGAGAGTAGAGGAGAGACGGTCCGTTTGCTTGCTTGCTTGCTCCTCTCCTCGTACTCAAGCCTGAGGGTCTTGCAGGTTTCAACTCCGAGACGACCTCCTTGCAGCTCTGCTCCTCCTCACCTGGAACTCTTGGAATCTCCTCCTCAACACATCCCCATCCCCTCTGCTTTCTTTCTCACAGGATTCACTGGTAGATGTCCATCGTTTCCTCATCGTTCTGCCCGATCTCTTCCCTTCCTCTCCTCTCCTTACAGCATCGATCTCCTTCCACCTCTCTCCCTCCCTTCCCCTCATCATCATCACCATCATCATCATCTCCACACACTCCCTCTCTCCCCGTCTCCTCCTCGTCCTCACCAGTGGACAGGAAAGGAAATTCCCGAGGATGTCTGCGAGGGCTGCGATGTCAGGTGCTGGCAGTGCGGAACTACACAGACCGTCAGCAGGCAGCACGTTGCTCCCTTGGTGAACTTGAACCTGCTCTTCCCTCCCTCCCCCTGCTCTCCTCCTCCCACACGCTCTTTCCCCTCGTCGTTACCCTTGCTTTTCCGTCTCCTTCCCCCTCCTCCCTTATCCAGCTGTTTGTGTCCTCTTCCTTCCCCTGCTCCCTTCTCCGCCGCTCACCATCTCTCCCTTCCAGATCATCGGAGGCAACACAGTGCAAAGTCGCACGCAAGCTCTCAATCTCTTCGGAGGTCTCCCTGCTGTCAGCGTGGTCTTCTGCTCAGCACAGGTCTCCTCCTCCTCCTCCTCCTCCTCCACCTCCTACCTGACGCATTCGGCAGGATTGCTGTGTTGGCCGGTCAGAAGCACTGGTTGCTCTCCTCTGGGAGGGAAAGTGGCAATCGGTGGACGACTTTCTGACAATAGCAGGGGGAGGAGACGATTACATTGAGGTTTTCTCCTCCTCTGCCTCCCGCTCCCCCTCCTCCTCCCCTTCTCCTTCTCCTCTTTCGCTTCATATTGGATCTCTAGCTCCCTGACTCTCTTCCCTCCCCTCAGGTCCCCTGCGGCCTCAGCCGTGAGCGAGTCATCCTCCACATCCTCCACTGGTTCTCCAAGACCAA